ACCTACCCACCTCCTGGTTGACTCTCTCCACCTGCCCGTTACTTTCGGGGTGAAACCCTGAGGTCAGGCTGACCGAGACTCCCAGACGTTCCATGAACGCCCTCCAAACCCTCGAGGTGAACTGGGAACCCCGATCAGACACCATATCCTCAGGTAACCCATAGTGCTGGAAGACGTGTGTAAATAGGGCCTCAGCAGTCTGTAGGGCCGTAGGGAGACCGGGCAGAGGAATGAGGCAGCAGGACTTAGAAAACCAATCCACAACGACCAGGATCGTGGTATTCCCTTGTGAGGGAGGAAGATCCGTCACGAAATCCACCGATAGGTGGGACCACGGTCATTGTGGAACGGGTAGGGGTTGCAATTTCCCTCTGGGCAGGTGTCTAGGAGCCTTACACTGGGCGCACACCGAGCAGGAGGAAACATAAACCCTCACGTCCTTAGCTAAGGTGGGTCACCAGTACTTCCCACTGAGACAATACACTGTCCGACCGATACCAGGATGACCAGAGGAGGGTGACGTGTGAGCCCAATAGATCAACCGATCGCGGACCTCCAGCGGGACGTACACACGACCCTCTGGACACTGGGGAGGAGTGGGTTCGTTACGCAACGCCCGCTCGATGTCCGCGTCCACCTCCCACACCACCGGTGCCACCAGACACGACGCCGGAAGTATGGGAGTGGGCTCCACGGAATTATCCTCCGTGTCATACAGTCGGGACAGAGCATCTGCCTTAGCATTCTGGGAACCTGGCCTGTACGAAAGGGTGAAACAAAAATGGGTGAGAAACATTGACCAACTTGCCTGGCGAGGGTTTAATCTCTTCGCCGCCCGGATGTACTCCAGATTGCGGTGGTCAGTCAAAATGAGAAAAGGGTGGTTAGCCCCCTCAAGCCAATGTCTCCACGCTTTCAGGGCTTGGACCACGGCCAACAGCTCTCGGTCCCCCACATCATAGTTGCGCTCCGCCAGACTGAGCTTCTTAGAAAAGAACGCACAGGGGCAGAGCTTGGGTGGTGTGCCCAAGCGCTGGGAAAGTACAGCACCTATCCCAGCCTCCGACGCGTCCACCTCAACCATGAAGGCCAAGGAGGGATCCGGATGAGCCAGCACTGGAGCCGAGGTAAACAGGTTCTTCAGATGATTGAACGCCCTGTCCGCCTCAGCTGATCACCGCAGACGCACCGGTCCCCCCTTCAGCAACGAGGTAATGGGAGCCGCTACCTGACCAAAGCCCCGGATAAACCTCCGGTAGTAATTGGCAAACCCCAAAGATTGCTGCACCTCCTTCACCGTGGTTGGAATCGGCCAATTCCGCACGGCCAAAATGCGGTCACTTTCCATTTTCACCCCAGACGCGGATATGTGGTACCCTAGGAAGGAGATGGACTCCTGAAAGAACAGGCATTTCTCCGCCTTGGCATACAGGTCATGCTTCAACAGTCATCCAAGTACTTTACGCACCAGGGACACATGCTTGGCCCGTGTAGCGGAGTATATAAGAATGTCATCAATATACACCACTACACCCTGTCCGTGCAGATCCCTGAAAATCTCATCGACAAAGGCTTGGAAGACTGATGGAGCATTCATCAACCCGTATGGCATGACGAGGTACTCATAGTGTCCTGAGGTATTGCTGAAAGCCATCTTCCACTCATCTCCCTCCCGAATACGCACCAGATTGTACGCGCTCCTGAGATCCAATTTCGTGAAGATGCGCGCCCCGTGCAGTGATTCCGTCATACATGCTATCAGAGGTAAGGGATAGCTGTACTTGACAGTGATCTGATTAAGCCCACGGTAATCAATGCACGGGCGTAACCCACCATCCTTCTTCTTCACGGAAAATAAACTTGAGGAAACAGGTGAAGTGGAAGGCCGAATGTATCCCTGTCTCAGAGATTCGGAGACATATGTTTCCATAGCCTCCTTCTCCGCCTGTGACAGAGGATACACGTGACTCCAGGGAAGTGCAGCGCCTACCTGGAGATTTATCGCACAATCCCCCGGACGATGGGGTGGTAATTTAGTTGCCCTCTTCTTACTGAAGGCGAGAGCCAAATCGGCATACACTGCGGAGACCTGGTTTGGACTCTCCACCGTAGTAGCCCCCAAGGAAACCCCTACACACCTCCCTGAGCACTGACTGGACCATCCCTTGAGAGCCCTCTGTTGCCAGGAAATAGTGGGATCATGAGTGGTTAACCAGGGAAGTCCCAACACCACAGGATACGCAGGAGAATCAATCAGATTTAGACTAATCCTCTCCTCATGACCCCCCTGCGTCCTCATTAAGAGTGGAGTGGTAACCTCCCTGATTAGACCTTACCCTAGCGGGCGACTATCTAATGCGTGGACAGGTAAGGGCACATCAACACGAACAGTAGGAATCCCTAACCTATGAGAATATTGACGATCAATAAAATTCCCAGCTGCGCCTGAATCTACTAGCGCCTTATGCTGGGAATGAGGAGAAAACTCTGGAAACACAACCTCTATACACAACTGACCAACAGGGAGCTCTGGGTGAGTCGGGAGCCTACTCACCTGAGATGGTCGACCAGTGCTCTGTTTACTGCCTCGACTCCCTGGGGACCCTCCCCAGCACCGACCCACAGTGTGTCCTCTGCGGCCACAGTTGGTGCAGGGGACGGCCCCTCTCCTGGTCTCCCTAAGCGCAGCACCTCCGAGCTCCATGGGGGTAGAGTCGGAGGTGCTGGGGGATGGAATGAATGGGCCCTGATCAGAACGTCCGTGGGTCTCCAACAGGTTATCCAGCCTGATGGACATCTCCACCAGTTGGTCCAGGTTGAGATTGGAATCCCTGCAGGCCAGTTCCCGCCAAACGTCCTCCCTTAGGCTGCACCAATAGTGGTCAATCAGGGCCCTCTCATTCCATCCGGCGCTGGCTGCCAACGTCCTGAACTCCAGCGCAAAATCCTGGGCGCTCCTCCTCTCCTGTCGTAGGTGGAACAGACGCTCGCCTGAAATCCTTGTAGCGGACCGATGCAGCGTCAATTCCTCCCCATTCTGCGTTGGCCCACTCGAGCGCCTTCCCCGACAGACAGGAGATAAGAGCGGACACGCTCTCGTATCCCGAGGGCGCCGGGTGAATGGTTGCCAGGTAGAGCTCTACCTGGAGAAGGAAACCCTGACACCCGGCTGGTGTACCGTCATATGCCCTCTGGAGCGAGAGCCGAATCCCACTGGGCCCAGGTGGAGAAGGGGTGGACTGTGGTATGGGTGGTAGAGTGGTTGGAGGAGGTGTGGGAAGGCCACCTCTCTCCCAACGGTCCATAGTATTCATCACCCTCTCCATGGCGGTGCCGAGCGCCTGGATGATACTCTCCTGTCGTTGAAATCGTTCCTCCATCGAGTCGGGCTGTACCTGCTGACTCCATAGATGGTGCGTGGTTCTGTAACGAGTGTCAGTGTAATGCGGTGGATCGAAGTCAGGCGCAGGACACAGAACTCGAAGAAACGTACTTTACTGAAAATGAGTAAAGAAAACAACACAGAAATACCTCCAAACAGGAAGGAACTAACCTGCTCACCAACGACACACGAAACAAAAAACAACCACGCACAAAACACATTGGGAGCCACTGGGTTAAATAGGGAAGGCGTGATTACTATAATGGGCAACAGGTGTGTGACATTAGACAACAGGTGCAACATAGAAACATAGAACATAGATCGGCAGTAGCTAGTATTCCGGTGACGACGAACGCCGCAGCCTGCCCGAGCAAGGAGGAGGGGCAGCCTCGGCAGAATCCGTGACACATACATATTCCATGTCTCAATTGTCTCAGGTTAAAGAAGGATTTTTATGCCTTCTCTCCTCCCCTTCATCTACACTGATTGAAGTGGATTTAACAGGTGACATCAATAAGGGATCATAGCTTTCACCTGGATTCACCAAATGTTTTGTCTGTGACATTTCCTTACCTGTAAAGGGTGTTTTATAGTCCTCTAATCCCCCAGTTTGTAGCAAAGGTTGACTGTGATCCTGTTTGTGAAACCGTCTCTTGGATAACTGACTGTAAGACTATTAGGAGTAAACCCACACTGCTCTGTGGCTCACAAATGTACATAAAATATATTAGGAATGTGCATCATTCACTGTACATGTCCCGCCCTAAGTCACACACTAATACGTTCCATGATACTGTACTGTAATAAATTAATATCAGTTCCAAAGAATGCATAAATGATGACGATGAGAGAGTTGTGGGACAATATGACTTTGGAATGGTTCCTTTTAGCAATACAGAAACATGATGAGTAGACAAAATAATTAAACTGTAATGTTTGAGTACTGATCTCCCCTTTTATGATCATGGAAATACGAGCCAGTCATGAATGCAAGTATTTTCATATTGTAACACAGCCATCAGTGGCATGAAAGAAGCTATTCATTGCAATGTTTGATTTCAGGTTATAAAACTTTTCTGGTCATTCTTATGACTCCTCAACAACAGGTACCATGCTTACATTCAACTTTTATTTTATATTTCGAATAGTCACTATTTATAAGTAACAGTTTTTTTTAGGTTTGGCTAGATCAGCCCCCACCAGATAATGTCCTGTCAAAAAATTATCTCAATGGACAAATTTGTTTCAAAGGGCATATCATGCTATAAGAAAGCTGGATCATGGAAAGGTTACCCTCGTCCCCAGAGCAGGCTGGTGGGCGAGATTATGGAAAGGTTACTTGCTTCAGTGTTAGACTGCGTTATCATGTTTAACCTATATTACCAGTAATTACATCAACCGTAATGTGTGGATTTTCATCAAAATATTGTTCAAAATCCTAGTTGTAACCACAGAGATCCTATGTAATTATATGGTTGTAACCAGCTCTGGTTGTAATCACTGGAAAGATGGTGGTTGGGCTATGATGTGGTTCAATTTGTCTGATTGGTTGTGTTCTGCTGTGCCACGTGATTTTGAGCGAATCAAGTAGCCACCTGTCATGCGCACATGCTCAATTTGTGATTGAAGAGCGGAGCAGAGGTTGAAGAACCCACCGACCACCTGGATTAAGCTAATTTAAACGGTCGATTTTAGCCTTTTGACATTATGCATTTACTACAAGGTTAGCAGATAGATAGTTATCCACAGTCTCAGTACAGCACGGTACACCAATACAGAAAGGGAGCTAGCTAGCTAGCTAATCCTCTGTTTCTACAAGATGTCTATGAGGACACTTCCTCTGGTTTTTATTAACCTCGGTGGAGAAATGCTCTATATTCTGGACCAACGTCTTCGGGCTCAGAATACCGCCGATGATAATACACAGAAAGGTAATCTGTAACTAGATTAGCATAGCTAGCTACTGAAATCATGTTAGCAGCCCACACAGTAGGCTGGCAATTAATCCTGACCCTTTCTAATTAGCCTAACTAGTTAGATGACTACCCTCAGCCACAGTAGTCACAGATTAATAGGGGAAACGTATTCATCTGTGCCGGGGTAGGCAACCCTGGTCCTGGAGTGCCGCACTTCATGTTTTGATTTAACCAACCTGGAATCTTTGAACTGATCAATTAGCTCAGTTGGTCAGGTGTGGTGCCTCGTTGAAACTAAATCCTGCAGTACCTGCGGCACTCCAGGAACAGCGTTGCCTACCCCAGATCTGGGCAATTCCATGGTAACAGAGTGATGCTGAGACTCAGATGTTTCACTTTAAAATGTATGTCAAACAAAAACCAATGATTGCAAAGTTAAACAAACAGTAAAGCTCTATGCACAATGACTACTGTTAACAATTTCAACAGAACATTTTACAAAAACACATTTACTTAAAGAACAGTGCAGATGCAAAATTTGGTAACAGAATTATGGTTTGGGCTGCCATTCTGTTACCAACCTTTGCATCTGCACTGTTCAAGTAAATGTTTTTAAAAAATAGTCTCAGCATCACTCTGTTACCATGTCACTCTGTTACTTTGCCCATCTTTAAACCTATGAGTTAATTAAAGTATATTTGGTGTAGTAGCAGTTTGAATTTAACCATCTTTCCCCCCCCCCCAACATATTATATTTGTCCCCTCCTTGACATGTGTATTTCCCTAAACATCACTTTATTGCAGGTGTATGGTCAGAGGAGGACAGAAAAAGAGGTATCGTCCTAGCCAGTCAGATCCCTCTCCCCATGTATCCTAGCTGTAGCCTATATCCTGTACTACTGTATTATTAGTCAGTGTAGCCTAGGTCCAATACATTAGTGAAAGATGTGACTGGTTCAGAAAGCTTGTCATACAAGACAGCACTGCAATTATATGATGTTCAACAATCTTATATATTGGACATGCGTTGAATTTATAAAATTAAGTATTGCTGTGTCACATTTGCTCAATTTTAGATTCCTTTCTGTACCTCCATTTTATCACCTTTTTTTAATCACCTAAAATGCATTCTTAACCAAATAGTTTAACTTTTTATTTTTTATTTTTTTATCCTTCATAAATTAACTGTGTTTCTGTCTCTGTCCTATCATGTCTATAGTTATGAATGACATTGTTGCCACCATGTTCAATAAGGCCTTTATGGAGGAACTGCTGAAGCCTCAGGACCTCTACAGTCATGGGGCTCTGAGAAGAGTGCTAACACGACTAGCCCATGCCTCCATCATGAGGCTCAACCCCGCCAGCATGGATAGGGTAGGCAACATACTGTAGACTATAGCCCCTAATTCGAATAATCAAAGCTTAGAAATTACTTGGTGATTTAAAGCCTCCATGCAGTCTGTTTTAATGTAATTTTTAAATAATCGCTGTATGGCTAATAAATAACTTTATTTCATGAAAATAACGGCAAATTTATTTTCATTTTTTGACATTTAAATGCTTAGTCTGATCGTGTGGCCTTGTTGATACAAATTTAAATATATTTACATACACAGCCCTGATTGGCGGATAGAATTGACCCTACCCAGCTATCCCCTTCAAAGTAGGAGGATACATATGCAAATAAAAGATGACTGGTCATTGGTCAGAATAATCAGATCAGATTGTGATGTCATGCTATGGACCAAAAACCCCATCCCACCTGAACAAGCTGAAATTCCAGGAATTATTTTCAAAAAGCTCTTGCATTAAAAGGGCATTATCATTTTCACAATTTCAGAGTGTTACGTTGACCTCAGAGTGTAAATAATATATATAATAATCAAACAGGAAAAATACGTTTTTCACTGCACTGCCCCTTTAAATCAGCTGTGTAGTGCTAGGGGAAAAACTAAATGTGAAACGCTGCGTCATATCCCTTTTAGCCTCGACCCCTAGGCCCGTCAACCGGCCCCTTTCAAATATGAGGAAATTAGAAAGATACTATTCATCATATTTTGCATTTAACATGCTGTCATTTGTGTTTTCTGTTATCTGCTGTTTTCTGTGTAGCTTTATGAATTGATGGTGATGGCTTTCAAATACCAACTCCTGCTATGTCCACGTCCCAGAGACCTGCTGATTATTTCATACAATCACATAGACACCATCCGGGAGTTTGTGAGAGACACCCCCAGTGTTCTCAACCAAGTGGACGAGACACACCGAAAGATCATTGAGGTAGGGGCCTGTCACTGGCACTCTATTCCCTATATAGTGCACTACTTTTGATGAGGGCCCATATAGCCATTTTTTTTTTTACAAGCAAGTGTCATGTTCGAGTGATCTGTGTGCATGCTCGCAACAAAAAGCCCTGTAGCAGATAGCTATACACTGATGTCGGGACCTTGACAAACTTAGCACTGAGTGAGTGATGACCATGAGAACACAAGACTGATGGCTATAGCTATGCTCAACAAGTATTTTATTCTTCTGGCTTATCAAGCTCTATTTGTGATATTTTGCCTCGCTAGATTGCTAGGTAATCAATCCTCTGATTACATCTGTGATGTTGTAGACGATAACCATCTGATTACATGTTTCAAAACTTGCATGAGCTGCATCTGGAGTCAGATGTGATCTTATTTACTTCTATGTAAACAAAAATGGTTTCTGAACCGGAACTGCACACTCAACTTTTCATGACACGGCTGGGAAATGGGTCTATAGGGCTCTGGTCAAAAGTAGTGCACTATGTAGGGAATTGGGTGCAGCCTGATTCATTGTGCTCCCGAGTGGCGCAGCGGTCTAAGGCACTGCATCTCAGTGCTTGAGGCGTCACTACAGACCCCCTGGTTCTATTCCAGGCTGTATCACAACCGGCCGTGATTGGGAGTCCCATTGGGCGGCGCACAATTGGCCCAGCGTTCTCTGGGTTTGGCCGGTGTAGGCCGTCATTGTAAATAAGAATTTGTTCTTAACTGACTTGCCTAGTTAAATAAAGATATAAAAAAAAGAAATGGTGACAGATTACATGCATGCTTTACCTAAACTACAGAAAGATGATGGCCTTCATCTGCTGTCTCACCCACGTCCTGCTTGTGATGCCAAGCTAAGTCTGATGTACCCTTTTTTTCTACTCTTCCTGTTTGCTAAAGGTGTACACACCCTTGTCTGATGGGGAATTTCAACTCCTCCGACAAACGCTTCTCATATTCCTTCAAGACATGCATGTCAGGGTAAGTCCCTTTTTATCTTTATCGGCTGTTGAAAACTAAAGAATGTTATTTCTGTATAAAATACAATTATTTCCATGCAAATAGAGTATTTTGACCGATTCTGCTGTTGAAAAAAACGAACGGAAAAAACATGAGTATTGTCTCTACCAGGTATCACTTTTCCTCAAGAATAAAGTACAGAATCCCAATGGACGCTTTGCTCTCTCGACCACAGGCCCAGTGCCCCATGGGATAGAAGTCCCTGGGTTAATCAGGTAATCTACTTAGCAGTAGCCAATGTGGAGTCGCCAGAAAACGCTAAGATCTGGTTTTCAGGGATATAGAATTTTCAACCTAACTTCCATTTCCCCTGAAAAACGGAAGTGGGAACTCCGCTCAGGCTTCTTTCCACACCTGCTACGTTAGGTTAACTTGGCAGTAACGCGACAAGGGGGTGTTAAACATATTTGAACCACTAGTTAACGGATCAACTCTATCTGGTCTCCATGAGTAGTGTTATGATGAGTTTCTCAGGTATCAAGTAATTTAGAATGTAAGGATATACTTATACACTTTTGGTGGGGAGGTCATATAAGATATTTAATAGGTACCATGGTTCGTTATAACAGAAGACATAGCTTTGCCTCTTGCTATTCCGAACTCACCTAGAACAAAGAACATATCTCAGCTTATATACACTCTGTTACACGTTTCTTCACGAACATCTGGTACCCATCAGTGGGCACTCCCTCCTTTGATGTTATTACCCTTTACCCCAAGTCAGTGTATCCTGTCCATCAATCATTCTAAGATCAACATCAGTAATCTCCTTTGACATAAGGAATGCAGACTCTGTGGCACCAAGTCACTTATCCACTAACTCTAACCTTGTTTCCCATAACACTATAAAAACCTCATCAAGTAGTGACTGAGAGGTCATATAGAAATGCATGTAAAGGCCAAGAGGAATTTTATTGACGGTCATGCATTGCATGCTACAGTTAGTGGTAGTATTTTGATAGTCTGTTCCTTTTTCTACTAGCTCCCTTTTTAGATGCGTTTCAACCTGAAGACATCAATGTAACCAATCTGAATTCAGGGTTTCATCTCTGACTTCCTGTTATCACAGGATGTTTAGTAGTAATGGGAAGGAGTGGAAGAGATGGGAGTTCCCCACTGGAGGCAGTTACACCAGCTCCATCCGAGTGGGCTCCTTTGAGCGGTTTGGGGATAGAGTCATCCGAATTGGGACAAATATGTAAGTAGCTACCTACTTCACCTGGCATGGAGGCTCGACCATTAAAATGCCTCAAAAAGCCTGGGTAGGGAGTTGGAAATCTATATTGGCTGTTTGTTTTAAAACCGATATGTATCTGTTGAATTCTAACAGGTACAGTGTGACTCAACCAGAAGAAACTCACACATCCGAGAACTATTCTCAAAAGGTAGAACCCTGAACACACTTCATTCAACTTAACATGCCCTCATTTTTGTCATCAGGGACAGTATGTATAATGTATCTGAGTAGGGGTGCTGATTTAGGATCAGTTTAGCCTTTTAGGACCTGATCCTAGCACTCCTACTCTAAAAGGCTTGATCCATACAGCCCCAGGTATGCATGCTTACAAGCACAGTAAAGACTGCTGCCCTCTTAAGGCACTAGCACTTACTGTACAATTCTTTTACTTTTTCATACTGGTCCACCTTGGGAATTGAACCCACAACCCTGGCATTGCAAGCGACATGCACTACCAACTGATCCACACGGGACTTACTCTCCATGGGGGGCAGTAAGCCCAAGTAACCCAGGATGCATCCCAAATGGCATCCTATTCCCTATATAGTGTCATTTGGGATGCATCCCCACTATATATATATATATATATCTAACGAAAAAATTAAGAGACCACTGTAAAAATATGTTTCTCAGGTTTTACTATTTATAGGTATGTGTTTGGGTGAAATTAACATTTTTGTTTTATTCTATAAACTACTGACAACATTTCTCCCAAATTCCAAATAAAAATATTGTCATTTAGAACATTTATTTGAAAGAAAATGAAAACTGGTCAAAATAACAAAAGATGCAGTGTTGTTAGACCTCGAATAATGCAAAGAAAATAAGTTCAGGTTCATTTTAAACAACACAGTACTAATTTTTTAATTTAGGAAGAGTTCAGAAATCAATATTTGGTGGAATAACCCTGATTTTCAATCACAGCTTTCATGCGTCTTGGCATGTCTCCACCAGTCTTTCACATTGATGTTGGGTGACTTTATGGCACTCCTGGCAGAAAAATTCAAGCAGCTCGGCTTTGTTTGATGGCTTGTGACCATCCATCTTCCTCTTGATCACATTCCAGAAGTTTTCAATGGGGTTCAGGTCTGGAGATTGGGCTGGCCATGACAGGGTCTTGATCTGGTGGTCCTCCATCCACACCTTGATTGACCTGGCTATGTGGCATGGCGCATTGTTCTGCTGGAAAAACCAATCCTCAGAGTTGGGGAACAATGTCAGAGCAAAATGAAGCAAGTTTTCTTCCAGGACAACCTTGTACGTGGCTTGATTCACAAAGACAAATCTGCCCGATTCCAGCCTTGCTGAAGGACCCCCAGATCATCACCGATCCTCCACCAAATTTCACAGTGGGTGCGAGACACTGTGGCTTGTAGGCCTCTCCAGGTCTCCGTCTAACCATTAGACGACCAGGTGTTGGGCAAAGCTGAAAATTGGACTCATCAGAGAAGATGACCTTACTCCAGTCCTCTAAGGTCAAATCCTTATGGTCTTTTGCAAACCTCAGCCTGGCTCTTCTTTGCTTCTCATTGATTAAGGGCTTTTTTCTAGCTTTGCACGACTTCAGCCCTGCCCCTAGGAGCCTGTTTCGAGCCGTCCTCGCCGTGCACTTCACCCCAGCTGCCGTTTGCCATTCTTTTTGTATGTCACTTGATGTCATCCTACGATTGTTGAGTGACATTCGAATGAGTTGGCGGTCATCCCGGTCAGTAGAGTCGTTTTCACCCTCTGCCGGTCTGTAGCTTTGTTGTCCCTAATGTCTGCTGCTTGACCTTGTTCTTATGAACCGCCGTTGTGTCCTCCTCCCAGAGTGCGAAGAGCCTTGGCGTGACCCTGGACAACACCCTGTCGTTCTCCGCTAACATCAAGGCGGTGACCCGATCCTGCAGGTTCATGCTCTACAACATTCGGAGAGTACGACCCTGCCTTACACAGGAAGCGGCACAGGTCCTAATCCAGGCACTTGTCATCTCCCGTCTGGATTACTGCAACTCGCTGTTGGCTGGGCTCCCTGCCTGTGCCATTAAACCCCTACAACTCATCCAGAATGCCGCAGCCCGTCTGGTGTTCAACCTTCCCAAGTTCTCTCACGTCACCCCCCTCCTCCGCACACTCCACTGGCTTCCAGTTGAAGCTCGCATCCGTTACAAGACCATGGTGCTTGCCTATGGAGCAGTGAGGGGAACGGCACCTCCGTACCTTCAGGCTCTGATCAGTCCCTACACCCAAACGAGGGCATTGCGTTCATCCACCTCTGGCCTGCTGGCTCCCCTTCCTCTGCGGAAGCATAGTTCCCGCTCAGCCCAGTCAAAACTGTTCGCTGCTCTGGCACCCCAATGGTGGAACAAGCTCCCTCACGACGCCAGGACAGCGGAGTCACTCACCACCTTCCGGAGACATTTGAAACCCCACCTCTTTAAGGAACACCTGGGATAGGATAAAGTAATCCTTCTACCCCTCCCCCCCCCCCAAAAAAAAAAAAAAAAAAAGTATAATTGTAAAGTGGTTATCCCACTGGCTATAGGGTGAATGCACCAATTTGTAGTCGCTCTGGATAAGAGCGTCTGCTAAATGACGTAAATGTGCCCTTGAGCAAGGCACTTAACCCTAATTGCTCCTGTAAGTCGCTCTGGATAAGAGCGTCTGCTAAATGACTAAAATGTAAGGATGGAAGCAACCTGACGCTCACTGTATCCCTCTGCCAGTAAAGCCAGAATTGAACCCTTCTTTTCCTCACTCAAAACTTTCCTTTTCAACTCTTTTGGCATGGTCAAAAGTAATTTTTTGATTAATATTACTTTTGAGGTACTATTAGCACTGTTTTTTCCATCCAGCTGGTCCTATTGCAAGAGGATAGTGATGACCACAGCAGTGGTTTTTATACATTTCCTCGTTAAATAAGATTTGGTTCAGGTGATCACCTAATCAGTACCTAATTCAGTAGAATGAGGTGTGCCTGTGTTGGAATTCAACAGACACTGGAATGGCTGTCATGCATGTAGAGATGCTGATTTAAGAAACATTTGCAGTGGTCTCTTAATTCTTTCCAGATATACAGTGAGGGAAAAAGTATTTGATCCCCTGCTGATTTTGTATGTTTGCCCACTGACAAAGACATGATCAGTCTCTAATTTTAATGTAGGTTTATTTGAACACTGAGAGACAGAATAACAACAACAAAAATCCAGAAAAACGCATGTAAAAAATGTTATAAATTGATTTGCATTTTAATGAGGGAAATAAGTATTTGACCCCTCTGCAAAACATGACTTAGTACTTGGTGGCAAAACCCTTGTTGGCAATCACAGAGGTCAGACGTTTCTTGTAGTTGGCCACCAGGTTTGCACACATCTCAGGAGGGATTTTGTCCCACTCCTCTTTGCAGATCTTCTCCAAGTCATTAAGGTTTCAAGCCTGACGTTTGGCAACTCGAACCTTCAGCTCCCTCCACAGATTTTCTATGGGATTAAGGTCTGGAGACTGGCTAGGCCACTCCAGGACCTTAATGTGCTTCTTCTTGAGCCACTCCTTTGTTGCCTTGGCCGTGTGTTTTGGGTCATTGTCATGCTGGAATACCTATCCACGACCCATTTTCAATGCCCTGGCTGAGGGAAGGAGGTTCTCACCCAAGATTTGACGGTACATGGCCCCGTCCATCGTCCCTTTGATGCGGTGAAGTTGTCCTGTCCCCTTAGCAGAAAAACACCCCCAAAACATAATGTTTCCACCTCCATGTTTGACGGTGGGGATGGTGTTCTTGGGGTCATAGGCAGCATTCCTCCTCCTCCAAACACGGCGAGTTGAGTTGATGCCAAAGAGCTCAATTTTGGTCTCATCTGACCACAACACTTTCACCCAGTTCTCCTCTGAATCATTCAGATGTTCATTGGCAAACTTCAGACGGGCCTGTATATGTGCTTTCTTGTGCAGGGGGACCTTGCGGGCGCTGCAGGATTTCAGTCCTTCACGGAGTAGTGTGTTACCAATTGTTTTCTTGGTGACTATGGTCCCAGCTGCCTTGAGATCATTGACAATATCCTCCAGTGTAGTTCTGGGCTGATTCCTCACCGTTCTCATGATCATTGCAACTCCACGAGGTGAGATCTTGCATGGAGCCCCAGGCCGAGGGAGATTGACAGTTCTTTTGTGTTTCTTCCATTTGCGAATAATCACACCAACTGCTGTCACCTTCTCACCAAGCTGCTTGGCGATGGTCTTGTAGCCCATTCCATCCTTGTGTAGGTCTACAATCTTGTCCCTGACATCCTTGGAGAGCTCTTTGGTCTTGGCAATGGTGGAGAGTTTGGAATCTGATTGATTGATTGCTTCTGTGGACAGGTGTCTTTTATACAGGTAACAAACTGAGATTAGGAGCACTCCCTTTAAGAGTGTGCTCCTAATCTCAGCTCGTTACCTGTATAAAAGACACCTGGGAGCCAGAAATCTTTCTGATTTGAGAGGGGGTCAAATACTCATTTCCCTCATTAAAATAAACCTACCATTAAAATTATAGACTGATAATTTCTTTGTCAGTGGGCAAATGTACAAAATCAGCAGGGGATCAAATACTTTTTTCCCTCACTGTGTATGTATATATATATATATATATATATACACACACACACACTCATTGTTCCACAGGTGAACTCCGAACCCAACCTCCTGGCTAAAGAGGAGCTGAACCTGCTGGCTCGACTGCTGGGTGGAATGGAGGTTCAGAACCGAAACACTGAAACAGGGTTCCAGGTCAACCTCTTTGACACAGACCAAGAAGAAGAGGCGTGAGTTCTATCTCTCACTACTAGTGCCTTAGTTCTTTGTTTAACAGTGATTGTGATACACATTGCAGCATCTTGATCATCTATAATTTGGTTTGATCAGAGCAAGTAATTGGTATGTGTGAAGGTATGATATTTGTCTTCTTCTACAGCGGAGCATCAGGAGGGAATGGGGATCAGTCATTCGAAGTGATTAATATTCAAGCAACACAGGTATGATGGTATTGAGTGATTTCATAGCTATTACACACACCGAACGCGATCTGCTGTTCATCTGGCGTTTTGTTCGCCGCAGTGTGTTTTAGGGACCGTCTGACTGCTGACATTTTCGTGCGATTCTACATGTCGATCGGTTTGCACTCGGTTTGTAAATTACGGCTGGCACTCTGTTCAGAGATGCTAAGTACTCTCGGCCGGCAAACGCTACCTGTGTGTCCGTGCCTTAAGTTATTATAACATATCTGTGGTGCACAAAATAGCCCGGCAACCTAGCATCAGACTGACAAACCAAAGATCACCATGTCATTGGTGTGTATTCCTGCTCAGCTCTCTTACAATCTCCACTAAACCCCATTTAAGCTAAACAGCATATCTGTATCAAGCAACAATTGTAGTTCATTATCGTACTGCTTATGCATCAAATTACGTGTTTTTTTTTTCTTCCTCTCAGGATGTGCAGGTCAACACAGAACTGGCTCGGATCGCGGGAGAGTTTACCGGGGAGCCTGAACAGACTGAATTGCCGGAGGGACCAAGCAACAAGGGGGACGACCTGCTGGCCATGATGGATGAACTTATTGAACTATAATGTTGATTATGATGAGGTTTTGGTGGGTGGAGCTATACAATCAGTATTGTAGTTTGGGCAAGATACCTAATGTAGTTTGGGTGCCTAATGTTACTGTGGGTATCCACTATACTGCTGCTGGTCAATCAATGCTTACATACACAAACTAAACATTACCTCTTATGCCCGTTGTTGGACCAAAGTTTAATAATGTATTACTTTAGTCAACCTTTTCATCCATCTGGTGGTGCTATTCTGGTTTGTAGATTATATTTATACCGTATAATATTATATTGAGTGCAAAACCAAAAGTGAAGCATGAGGCTGTAAAAATAAATGAAAATTATTGTAGATATGAATAGCTGTTATGTTGTACATATCTCTGTATATTTGTAATGTAGATGATTCTATGAAGAAAATATTGTGTGTGTGTGTGTATATATAGAATATTTATATATATAGTATGTATGAAAGTTTTATTTTCGTAATCAGTGGCACTAGTTTATTTTGGGGAATTATCTACCAGTCATTGAATATAAGAAGCAGTTGTCTTCAATAAACCAACACTCAAGCCTATTTTTCCACATTAGTATTTTTGTAGATTTTCACAGATCATGTTTTTTTCTGAAGGATCCTCAGATCGCCAGCAGGGGGAGTAGTAACATGCCAGCCCAGCAGAGCTATGTATTTCTAAATAAAAAATGTGTTCTTGTAAAGTCATGTTCTTATAAACACAGTTGGTGTTACAGTACAAAACAGCCTTTGTTTGTTACAAAAACAAGTGTAAATGCTTAAAATTGTGTTTGCTTGGTGTGGATGTAAAACTACTCATATGTTAGGAAACAGATGAGTCGTTTTACATCCACACCAAGTGCCTATAATGCTTTTTTAAAATGTGTGCGTGTTCCTTTAGTAGGTGTGAGTCTCAGAGCTCTTTGAGAAAGTCACCCCACTGAGGTTTTTCCTGGTCTTCCAGCCAGTGTGGGGGCAAGGTAGATTTGACACTTGGACTGCCCTTCATCATAGCGTGGTATGCTCCCAGTTTGGGGTAACGCTCTGCTGACAGCCCAGAGTGGAAGGAGTAGGCAATGGTTGGGAAAACAAGGACATCAGCCAACGAGAAGGCTTTTCCTGACAGGTAAGAGCCTGCCTCCATCTTCTGAAAGTATCCCTCCCACAGTTTAATTTCAATGGCAAGGTTATCTTTGTTCCTCTTGATAGCAGAGTCGTGTCTCTTTCCCTTAGGGACATAATACTCATAGTAGACCACATCACTAAGTTTATCGTAGAAGGTTTGGCCCTCAAACATGCGTTGGTACATCAGGGCCTGGTTGGCTATATCCCCTCAGGGATCATCTGGGACCTGAACTGGTTTTCCAAGTACATGCATGCTCTGATACTGCCCACACTGTAGCAATACATGCCCCACGGTCTCTGTTTCCTGACAATAATCACACTTTCCTGTTGGATGCTTTCCTATCACATTTAATGTCTTATTCAACTGGCTATGTCCCACCCTTAATCTTGTAAAAATAGCCTCCTCTCTTCTGTCCCTTCCTGCCGTCCTCCCCGACCTTCCTCTGTACTTGAATTAAATGCTTTCCCTTATTATCTCTATTCCACTGCTCCTGCCATCTCTGCACCATCACTGTATATATCAGTATTTTTGCCTCTGCCTTGCTCATTGAAACTTCAACATCAACATCCCCACTACTAAGTGCTTGTTTAGCCTGTTCATCTACTGCCTCTTTCCCCTCCACCCCCACATGGACTGGGACCGAAGATTGTTCAAGACCTTTGCAAGTTTCTAAATACATGGGCCCTGCATGCCAGTTGGTGGTGACTTAAACACAGCGGTGAAACGTCATCAAAATGCTCCGGCAGTTTACTTTCAAATTTGTTGTGTTGACATGATTAGCTGCGAAGTTCTTCTCTAGGTACAGTTAACCTTGGTTTCTCCTGAATGTAAACGAATCAACCAAAATGTACGTTCGTTTGTTAGCTTTGATAAGCTTTGTGTAAAGTCCGTGCATGATATGTACGTTATCCAGCTTATTTTGCTAGCTAGTGAGCTAGCTGGCGTGTACCTCTGGTCCATCGCGCCACGACAACGAGTTATTTAGCTTTGTCCCCTTCCGTTTATCATTTTAGGGGATTTTTCTCTATGTTTAGTGACTTGACTTATATATACTTTAGTAACCCACCAAAGTAAAGATGTTGTTGTGCTGTACCGTGAGAACTTATTTCTTTGTGCGCACGGTGTCACGTTTTTCCAAAATACTAGCTCTGGTCCGCGCGCATGCGTCAGATGGGCATGCAGTTCGTTCGTAGTGCAGAGCCAACGCGTGCGACAGAGCCTTCTATTTAGAAATAGAATATATGATATGATAGGTCTACCCATAATGGCGTTTTTGCTAAATACGTTTTGGAAACGAATCAATATCAAGTTCTTACATTTTATCCACAAACCCTTTCCTCCCTCTCCATAGTCTTCCCTGGCTGTATCCTCAACCTAAGCAGGACCAATGGAGGTGTCTCATTCGATCAGGGAGCGGACCATAGCAGAGAACAGCCTGGTGATCCTTCTCCAGGGGCTTCAGGGGGAGGTGACCAACGTGGACCTGAGGGATGAGAGCACAGCGCAGGGACGTGTGGTCAATGTGGATGCCTTCATGAACTTGCGTCTGGAGGAGGTGAATGATTGGTTGATTTTGGGGTAAAACTGTTTTTTACAGTTAGAAACAATAATGTTAAAGTACAAATAACCCCAGAGGATGACACATGGAAGCGTTAAATACACGTATTTCCAATGTTCACTCCTCATAGTGATGTTGATATGTGTTTGCATGATTTGATTTGATTTTATGTATTTATTTATTCTATGTGGAAGCAGCAGCACACTCTTCAATTGTCCAAGACGAATTTCCCCTTGGGGACAATAAAGTATATCCTAATCCTTCCAATGTGGTCCTCAACCACAGGTGCTGTACCGGGACCGTCGCGGCCGGCTCAGTCAGCTGGCCGATCTGTTTATCACGGGCAGGAACGTGCGCTACGTCCACATCCCCGACCACGTGGACATCATGGAGACCATACAGACCCAGCTGACCAGGATCAGACGCGTTCGCAACTTTGCCAGCGAGAAAGGGGGCAGGAAGGAGTATCTAAAGAAAAAGAACTGAACTTGGAAGTGTGGAGGACGTTGTGTTGGCCCCAAGGGGCTGACCTTCTCTAGCCTGAGTTTCAGCTCCTTGTTACTCATGGTAATGCCAAACGTGTGGCTTGACAATGAGCAATGTAGTTGGCAAGAGCACAAACAGATCTGGGACCAGGCTATACTGAATTTATAAAATTACTGAACTTGAAGGGTGGTAATCTCGTCCACCAGCCGTCTTTCGCTCTCTGTCTATATGCAGTCAGCTAGCAATTAAGCCTGGGGACGAGGTTAGAAGGATGGAGTTTGTGTTGCCCCAAGGAGCCTTCCGTCAACGCTCATTTCAAATTGTGCATTTTCTCCTTGTTTCATTAATGACTTGTGACTCCAGAACAGAAGAATACAAATTTGAATCGATTCTCACAAGTTACAGGTGTCGTCCTTGCGTCTTTATGTTCATAATTCTTTAACATTATAGTTTAGAGGGTGACAGGTTCTCCTCTTTGATTTTGTAGAAAAAAACAAGAATCCAAGGAAAGAAAACAACAAAAGTTTAAGAATGTCAATACTTGGCATTGTAAAGACTTTTCTTTGGTAAATAAAGACAATTATTTTGGACGCTTCAGAGTTCTTGATTCTCGTTTTGCTCAGGCCTTGTTCAAATACTTTGAATAAACTTTCCCTTTTTAAAGAAATCATTGCATTTTCAGAAAACAAAACTAATTGAATAATTCCAAGCCATGTAGTCTTAAGATGACAAGATGTGCTATATTTTGTTGGTTTGATGTGAGGTTGGCCTTTTGTCTTGGGGAAAACTGGTTTTGATATAGGCCCAATGCAATTTGGTTTATTGTGCATCAATCAATCAAATGTATTTATAAAGTCATTTTTACATTAGCAGATGTCACAAAGTGCTAGACAGAAACCCAGTCTTAAACCCAAAACAGCAAGCAATGCAGATATAGAAGCACGTCATGTAGGTTAGGCCTATGTATACCATTATTTCATTACGTATACCCTTCGTCCCTTCCTTGAAGTGATCACAGATGGTTGATCCTGTAAGCTACAGTACCAGCCAAAGTTTGGACACACCTACTCATTCCAGGGTTTTTCTTTATTTTTACTATTTTCTACATTGTAGAATAATAGTGAAGACATCAAAACTATGAAATAACACATATGGAAACGTAGTAACCAAAAAAGTGTTAAACAAATCAAAATATATTTTATATTTGAGATTTTTCAAATAGCCACCTTTGCCTTGATGACAGCTTTGCACACTCTTGGCACTCTTTTGGTTACTACATGATTCCATATGTGTTATTTCATAGTTTTGATGTTTTCACTATTATTCTACAATGTAAAGAATAAAGAAAAACCCTTGAATGAGTAGGTGTGTCCAAACTTTTGACTGGTAGTGTATGTATTGGAGTCCTTGCTTTCACCTATCCAACTGTGTTAGAGCCGTATTAATACATTCAAGGAAGTAAGGAAATGTTTTAATTGTGTAGAATTTGAACAGGACCCAGTACATACACTACACCACAGTGAGGGTGTGGTTGTGTGGGGGCAATGTTTTCTCTACTGGGCATGAACATGTTCTGTGTCCCAAGTGGCTCCCTATGTATTGCACTGAAATGCAATATCCCTATGAGCCCTGGTCAAAAGTAGTGCACTATAAAGGGAATAGGGTGTCATTTGGGACGCGAACATGGCCAGGAGCCTCGGCTTGGCATAGACCACAATGCACATCTGTCTGAGGAACCAGCTCTAAGTTCACGACTGGGCCGGTCTCCCTCCCTATCCACAGGCCAGCCAGGGAAAAGATTCCTCATGATCAATACCAGTCTGGAGGAGAGAAAAACAAACAGGGCTGTTTCCAAGGCTTAGCTCTCCCTCTCACAAATAGAACCCACTCATAAAAGCCTTTTGGATTACTTCACCGTGATTGGTGGACTGGCAGTCACAGAACCAGGATGGAACTTCTTCGGGCCAATGGCATTGAGCAGACAAACTAAGAAGTGTTTCCCTTGGAAATGGCTATCCTAAATGTTCCGATGGTGTTTGGGATTTTGAGGAATTTCTGAAGGGGTATGTTATTTCTTAGCAGTGTCAGGAAGAGGACAGGTCTGTTGGCTGGAGAAGAAGATGAGTTCCACCATGACCAGTCTGTATAGACTACAAAGGGGTGGAGTTGAATTCAGCTGGGGTCAATATGTCCCTACAGAATGTGGTATATAAAGAATGTAGTTACGCCACTGCATCTCAGGAATTTCCCTATGCCGTTCCATTATTGTTAGTCGGGGACCTGTGGTATGATTTTGGTTTTTAACATTCTTTTAAAAAACATATTTTCTCTAAGACCAACCTTGAGAAACCTCTCAGTGACACAACCACATAATAGCTTCTTTTGAATACCACTGGACTGACTGCCACATCAACACTGTTTAGCTCAGAATAGTTCTTTACAGAGGAATTCAAAATAAACATTTTGGTTGTAAAAGCCCCTTGGAATAATAAGAAACAATGGTTGTTTACCCCACTGATCTGAAATATGTGGACAAACCACTATGGTTTACACAACAAACACAATTAGAACCGCATAAACAACATTTTATGATTTTAACAACTGGTTTAAATATTTTCCATCTGACTGTACCTGCTACACACTGGCGTGGTGTGAAACTGTTTATTTAAACCTTGCTAGGGACATATTGTTGAAGTCGATCCCTAAAACCCTGTGCCTGTCTTAAATGGCACCCTATACCGTACATAGTGCACTACTTTTCACTAGGGCCCATAGAGCTTATGTCAAAAGTTGGGCACTATATAGGGAATAGGGTGCCATTTGGAATGCAAGCCTGAGATCACAACACATAGAGCTTAATTAATCCCCAGTCAGTCCCTCCTTTAGCAGCACACCAGAGCCCTGTGCCCACAGCAGTCTACTAGCTATTTCCTGTTCCACCCTCCTGGCTTAACACTGAACAGAGCTTCCACACTGTGGCATGGCCCAGAGCTAGAGATAACCTGGCCTCTGTGTGTGTGAGCTAACAGGACACTCACTACATCACAAGTATACCTCAGACTGAGTGTAAGTGTGCAGTGCATGTATGAAGATTTGGGAAAGGCAATTAATGGTGTTTTGGGGTTTACTTGCAGTACATTTTAGGGGTGTTTTGGGTTTCTGTCATGTCATTAATGTTACAGACTTGTGAATTTATATGCCAATGGTAAATGCTAATCAAGCTCATCACTCCTCTCTCTCTGTCTCTCTGGAAACAAACACCTCCCTTTTGACAGCGTGTCTCTCTCTCTCCTACCTCTCTGGAAACACCTCCCTTTTGACAGCCTCTCTTGGCCCAGGTTTGGCCGGTGCTCTCTCTCTGAGTAGAGGGAGTGGTGGTGGAGCACAGTTGATGTTGAGGAGAGAGGCAGCACATGTGAAGGCTGTTCTCTAACTGACTGTCTCCAACTTTACAGAGAGGCCAGGTCAAGCACCGCTGAGCCTTGGATCTTTCCCATCTTAACCAGGAGTACAACAGCCTGATCGGACTAACTGTTCCTACTCCTCTACGCCTCTGAGATCCTATAATATCTCCTCCACTTTTTTTCACAGCCTGTGGCAATATTTGCTTTACACATAGATGGACATAGAATCATTGTTGGATCTGTGGATTGACTGTGAAGCCACAAATTCAACTGACTTTATCAAGATTAAGGTGAGTGAGTGTGAGATTAACTTGGTTTCAATTCACTTGTGTTGTTGAATAGTGTTGTCACTATTTCTGTCTGTAGGACCTACTGTTGATGTCCTCACAAGTGATAAGGATGTGTTCTCTTGCCTTTTTACATGTTATGTTTTCTGTGGAAGAGATTGATTTCCTAACAATTTAGGAAATAACTTTGAGTTTACCTAATAAAGTGATCATGTACTCTGAAAGTAACAAGATGACATGGAAGTTTATTAGTAGAGACTGTTCCTCTTATTAATGTCTGTACTTCATAATGCCACAGACTATAACACTCTTTATAGGCACAGTAGCGGCAACAGAAGCAGAGACCCAAACCACCTCTACATCCTCACTTTAACACGATCAGAGCAGTCTGTCTCCCAGCCTGTCACACATGTACAGTTGAAGTCAGAAGTTTACATACACCTTAGCCAAATACATTTAATCTCAGTTTTTCACAATTCCTGACATTTAATCCTAGTAAAAATTCCCTTTCTTAGGTCAGTTAGGATCACCACTTTATTTTAAGAATGTGAAATGCCAGAATAATAGTAGAGAGAATTATTTATTTCAGCTTTTATTTCTTTCATCACATTCCCAGTGGGTCAGAAGTTTACATACACTCAATTAGTATTTGGCAGCATTGCCTTTAAATTGTTTAACTTGGGTCAAACGTTTTGGGTAGCCTTCCACAAGCTTCCCACAATAAGTTGGGTGAATTTTGGCCCATTCCTCCTGACAGAGCTGGTGTAACTGAGTCAGGTTTGTAGACCTCCTTGCTCGCACACGCTTTTTCAGTTCTGCCCACACATTTTCTATAGGATGAGGTCAGGGCTTTGTGATGGCCACTCCAATACCTTGACTTTGTTGTCCTTAAGTCATTTTGCCACAACTTTGGAAGTATGCTTGGGGTCATTGTCCATTTGGAAGACCCATTTGCGACCAAGCTTTAACTTCCTGACTGATGTCTTGAGATGTTGCTTCAATATATCCACATCATTTTCCTTCCTCATGATGCCATTTATTTTGTGAAGTGCACCAGTCCCTCCTGCAGCAAAGCACCCCCACAGCATGATGCTGGCACCCCCGTGCTTCACGGTTGGGATGGTGTTCAACCGGCTTGCAAGCCTTCCCCTTTTACCTCCAAACATAACAATGGTCATTATGACCAAACAGTTCTATTTTTGTTTCATAAGACCAGGACATTTCTCCAAAAAGTACGATCTTTGTCCCCATGTGCAGTTGCAAACCCTTATTCTGGCTTTTTTATGGCGGTTTTGGAGCAGTGGCTTCTTCCTTGCTGAGCGGCCTTTCAGGTTATGTCGATATAGTACTTGTTTTACTGTGGATACAGATACTTTTGTACCGGTTTCCTCCAGCATCTTCACAAGGTCCTTTGCTGTTGTTCTGGGATTGATTTGCACTTTTCGTACCAAAGTACGTTCATCTCTAGGAGACAGAACGCGTCTCCTTCCTGAGCGGTATAATGGCTGCGTGGTCCCATGGTGTTCATACTTGCGTACTATTGTTTGTACAGATGAACGTGGTACCTTCAGGCGTTTGGAAATTGCTCCCAAGGATGAACCAGACTTGTGGAGGTCTACAATTGTTTTTCTGAGGTCTTGGCTGATTTCTTCTGATTTTCCCATGATGTCAAGCAAAGAGGCTCTGAGTTTGAAGGTAGGCCTTGAAATACATCCACAGGTACACCTCCAGTTGACTCAAATGATGTCAATTAGCCTATCAGAAGCTTCTAAAGCCATTACATCATTTTCTGGAATTTTCCAAGCAGTTTAAAGGCACAGTCAACTTAGTGTATGTAAACTTCTGACCCACTGGAATTGTGATACAGTGAATAATAAGTGAAATAATCTGTCTGTGAACAATTGTTGGAAAAATTACTTGTGTCATGCACAAAGTAGATGTCCTAACCAACTTGCCAAAACTATAGTTTGTAAACAAGAAATTTGTGGAGTGGTTGAAAATTGAGTTTTAATGACTCCAACCTAAGTGTATGTAAACTTCCGACTTCAACTGTATGTTGTTAAAGACCACTTGCGCTTCTGGCAGTTTTGTTGTCACTATGTTTGTTGTATTATGACAACAACAACCTTATCCCTTAAAGTTACTGTGTTGTTGGATGATATCTGTTTTAAGGCACCAGTGACAAGAATAATACTTACGGGCAATTCCACGGTAACAGAGTGACATTGAGATTTTAACAGAATGATGGTTTGTGCTGTTGGTGCCGTCATTCTGTTACCAAACTTTGCATCTGCACTGTTCTTCAAGTAAATGTGTTTTTGTAAAATTTTCTGTGGAAATTGTTAAACGTGTTCCTTGTACATAGAGTTGTATGGTTTGTTTAACTTTGAAGGTTTTTGTTTGGCATACATTTCAAAGTGAAAAATCGGAGTCTCAGCGTCACTCTGTTACCGTAGAATTTCCCTTAGGCATTCAAATGTTTCAAATGTCATTGTTTTAATCTGATTGCTTTATCTAAGCAGGAAATGTGTAGGGTTGAAGGCAGTGTTTAATGAGGTATATAAACACGCATGTCCACGGTTAATTCCAGGAGTTATTGAACTTGTCTGGTGTTAATGCTGTCCGTCTTAGAATTTGTTGACCAGAACTGTGTAACTTAAAGATCACCAGTTACCGCCAGTATGTAGCCTGCAGATATGTGCTTGAAGGAGAATGTGCTTGAAAGGGATTTAATTTCGAGATGCCAACAAGTAGGCTATAAACACACAACAAGCCTTTTCAATGTGCCTGACTCATGGGGAGGAAACTCCATCGTGATCATTTGTAGGATTTGGGAAATGAAAAACGAGGCCAAGCAAGGCCTAATTAAATGAAAATACTGTTTGTCTTTAAATTAACTGAAAACAAAATTACTCACAGCACTTATGTCATTAAAGCCTGAAGAAAAAAAACGAGGATGGAGTTGGTGAGCTATTTCCTTCCAAAAGTCAAATCAATTATCTAGCCAAGAGAACTATAAGCAGAGAACCCAGGGCCCTGATGGGGCAAGGCCCACCATCTCCCATGAGTCTGTGAGCCAACAAAGCAGCAACGCTGCCAATGGCGGCCACCATTTAATTGGCAAAATGTGCTTTTGAGAGTGAACAGGGTCAGGGTCTGCTGCCAAGAGTCAGTGGGATAAAGATCAGGGTGGGAAAACACAGGGGCCTGATGGGCCTGATGATAGCTGGCATGATTTTAAACTCCCCAGAGGAAAGAAGCAGCGAAAGAGCAACATTCTGCCAGTGCTTCGACTGTTGTTGAATTGCATGCAAGCGACTGACTGTTGTAAGGGAGGAAATCAGTCAGCAGTCATTGGATTTATGACTGAAACCATGGGATTTCATCAACACTTCGTTGTCCTATTCCCTCCCCCCAGTTCCAGTTTCACTCTCAACCTCTGTAACACTGTATAGTGTTGTATTTTTGTCTTCTAGATCTCTCCTTCCCTTTCTCTTTGGCTCCTCCTCTCTGTGAGACTCCACACAGACAGACTGTTAGTATGCATGAGGAGACTCCACACAGACAGACTGTTAGCATGCATGAGGAGACTCCACACAGACAGACTGTTAGCATGCATGAGGAGACTCCACACAGACAGACTGTTAGCATTCATGAGGAGACTCCACACAGACAGACTGTTAGCATGCATGAGGAGACTCCACACAGACAGACTGTTAGCATTCATGAGGAGACTCCACACAGACAGACTGTTAGCATGCATGAGGAGACTCCACACAGACAGACTGTTAGCATGCATGAGGAGACTCCACACAGACAGACTGTTAGCATGCATGAGGAGACTCCACACAGACAGACTGTTAGCATTCATGAGGAGACTCCACACAGACAGACTGTTAGCATTCATGAGGAGACTCCACACAGACAGACTGTTAGCATGCATGAGGAGACTCCACACAGACAGACTGTTAGCATTCATGAGGAGACTCCACACAGACAGACTGTTAGCATGCATGAGGAGACTCCACACAGACAGACTGTTAGCATGCATGAGGAGACTCCACACAGACAGACTGTTAGCATGCATGAGGAGACTCCACACATACAGACTGTTAGCATGCATGAGGAGACTCCACACAGACAGACTGTTAGCATGCATGAGGAGACTCCACACAGACAGACTGTTAGCATGCATGAGGAGACTCCACACAGACAGACTGTTAGCATTCATGAGGAGACTCCACACAGACAGACTGTTAGCATTCATGAGGAGACTCCACACAGACAGACTGTTAGCATGCATGAGGAGACTCCACACAGACAGACTGTTAGCATTCATGAGGAGACTCCACACAGACAGACTGTTAGCATGCATGAGGAGACTCCACACAGACAGACTGTTAGCATGCATGAGGAGCCTCCACACAGACAGACTGTTAGCATGCATGAGGAGACTCCACACAGACAGACTGTTAGCATGCATGAGGAGACTCCACACAGACAGACTGTTAGCATGCATGTGAAACACGTGTTTCTGTGGGAAAAGTGAACCCCCCGCTCTGAGCACACAGGAAAGGGACAGCCGGGTCACTGCTACGGAAATACCATAAATACAAAGTAAGGAGTGGAGAGAGACGGAGCCCTCGGTTAAGCAAGCACACTGACTGACTCGTGTGTCTATGGTGTCCTTAGTGGGGCCCTAGTGACGATCTCACCAGGAACACAATGTTTACATTCCAGTGACCTCTGACACCTCATTGGACTGTAGTGATGATGGTTGGGTGGGGAATAGGTGGAGGCATTCTTTTACACTCTCCTCTAAGCCTTATGAGACTCCTAAGGACCAGAGAATGAGCTCAGACAGTCAGACACTGAGTGCTGGCTGTCCAAAATTACAGTCAGTTCCTCCCATTGGAGATGACACACGGTGTCATAGTAGAAGAGGAAATGTTGATTGTTTCCTGTCTGTGGGGGCAGTTCTAACGGTATGTTAATTATTTTTGAACTACAGGTCCTTGTATTGGAGACAGGCCTGGAACTGACACCATAGAGACCTAGAGATGTGATGACCAGAGAAGTCGGCAAAACAGAAGAACTTGTAATATTGTTGATGAATGGTGTCAACCAAACAGAGGTCAAAATGGAACCAATTAGAAAAGACATGGAGCTGCTAAGTAACAGCATGGCGACCTATGCTCACATCAAAGGTGAGACATCCGTATTTGTTCTGCTTATAGTTCTAGGACAAAGAGACCCTTTATTAATTCTAATGCTTTGAGAATGCCTTCCGAAAGAACCGTAACCTCTGTGTAGAACCACAATCCTTTCCAGGGACTTATGTGTTCTGTTTGCTTTGGCTTGAAAGTGTCTGCATGCTTGCCGTCTCAAATATTGTGTAAAGTTCCTCATTTCCTGCACTCATATTACAGCCAAAGGAAAGTGGCTTAAACAGTAAGACCAGGCAGGGGCCCTTTGTGAAGAGATTTGCCAAGAACTGATACCACACAAGGCATTGTTAAAGCACAGTCATTTCACATGCTGTTGTATTTAGTTTGAATAAAACTAAGAATTGGCTTGCTGAACCCCTGTCAATGTAGGTGATAGCCTTCAAACCAGCCTGATCCCACAAGCTCACACAATCTGTTTTCACAAGGCTATGTAAGTGAGTGATCTAACCAGTTTTTTTCCTAAACCCATCCAGCCAACCCAGAGAGCTTTGCTTTGTACTTCATGATGGGTGTGTGTTTTGGCCTGCTCCTGGCCCTGTGCCTCCTGGTCACCGGCATCGCCTGTAGCACCCGTCGTGGTCGCACCAAGAACAAGAAGGCTCCCCCCTCCCCAGAAAGGAGACAACTGAAGTCTAGCGAAGAAGATGAGGAACAGGAGAACGTGGATGTGGAAGACGGGGAGGAGGTTGAGATCCCTAAAGTGACTGTGGTGCCCATGAGCAACCAATCAAACGGTACTTTGAGGAGTGTGAACGTGTTTGCGTCGGCGGATGAGCTGGAGAGGGCGAGGCAACTGGAGGAGAGGGAGCGCATCATCAGAGAAATCTGGAGAAACGGGCAGCCTGATATACTGGCCACTGGGACAGGGACCATCGGACAGGGACACTACCTCTAAAGGAACTGAAGTGACTTAACATTTTCCTAACCCTGGTTTATCTACTACTGCAGAGGACTTTATTGGGCAGGCATAGATTTACCTTCATCTTTTCATTCAATGTGTTGTTGTTTTTTTACAAATGTATTTCATTATCATTCATGTATGACTATGACAAGTGTGTTGCACAATACAATGTATGCTTTTACATTTATACTTCAATGAGTATCCAGATACATTTTTTATTTTGGTAATAAAAAGTTTAATTTCATAACCACTGGACATAAATTAGTAACTTGAAAAATACCCCAGATTGATTTACAATGCAGACAGCTTGGAGAAACAACTACCAATATCGCTGTCTCAACATGTATAATGTTAACATTTGCTTATTATTATTGACTCACATGGTTGTCAGACTGCTCCCACAGAGTCAGCTCCAAGCTCCAACCCTCCATGTTCATCTTAACCAGCTAGAAGTCTTCCCACAGAATCCCCCATCCTTTAACGCCTCGTTAGCCACCATCTCTGACCAGTCACTTCCTGTTTTCCTTTCCAAAGTCCCAGCAGTCGCTCTGTTACAGCAGCAGCAACACTGTGGTTGCGTAAATAGCACCCTATTCCCTACATGGTGCACTACTTTTGACCAGATTCCTATATGGTTCCATTTGGGACGCACACCCAATTTCCCTTTCCACACTCCCAGCAGTATCTGTTACAACAGCAGCAACACTGCAGCAGCTCTCTCCTCAAGAGGTTGTTTAGGACTTATGAAAAGGCCATTTGTCCCCAGGCAGGATACCTGGGCTGCACCCGAAATGGCACCCTATTCCCTATTACGTGCACTACTTTTGACCTGGGGCTCTGGTCAAATGTAGTGTACTATATAGGGAATAGGGAGTCATTTTGGACATACCCCTGTGCTGTACTGTACATCTTACCAAGGCACTGCTTCCCTTGTGCAAAGTCCAGTGCATCCAAGCTATGTCCCAGGGGGTCGTCTATTTTTGGCTTCCCTGGGTGAGTTTTTCCCCTCCAAACCGTCCTATGCTTAATGAAAAGGTTGCTTGTTATGACTGGAGTGTTCATGTCCAGTGCCAGTAAATGTCCTGTTAGAAATGTCACTACTTCAATTGGGGATTGTTACAACAGCCAGAGAAAACAAACCTGTGTGTCCCAAATTGCACCCTATTACCTGTATAGTGCATTACTTTTGACCAGGACCTTGGGCTCTGGTCAAAAGTAGTGCACTATGGGATAGGGTGCCATTTGGGACTTAACCTTGAATGCAGCTTGAGTGAGCGACTTGTGTTTGCTTTTGAGGTTATGAAACTTCAGTCTGCACGGGATGGGTTATTAGCAATTGCAGGTGAACAAACAGCTGACCCGCGCACCACTAGTCTGCACAGTCACATATCGAGTATGTGCTCATTTCCAAATTCCTGCAGTACTTATCAAATAGTCCTAAGCAGGCATTCATAAAGTCTAAAATGAGTTAGAAATGTTGCAAAATATCTTGTAGAGTCCAAAGAACTGCAATATACCAGATACCGTGGATGTGTACAACTTTTAGAGCAACTGACCTTCCATCCAGCATTTGATATCACAGGTCAAGCTTCAGGATGTTGAAAACGAATGGAACTTTAAATGAGAAGTGCAGAAGGAAAATGCGAGTAATAAATGACAAAACAATTCAAGTGAACCAGAGAAAATATTTATTGAAAATTAATGACAAGCACTTCAAATCTCTGAGGGAACAGTAGAAAAGACGTCAGCTTCTGTTTCGAGTAAGAGCGTAAAAACAAAGAATTAGAGTCCTACAGTTCTGCTCAATACATACAGTATGGACACATTGCAGTCTTGGGGTAGACTGCACAAAGCAGCACAGTCCTGTACTGTACCTCACTAAACCTGCTCCTTGACGTCTACTCACCTGTGTTCACCAACAAGTATACTTTGACAGTACTTATTTGCCACATACAGCGAAAACTTCTACTTATGTTATCTTGTACCATAACCTCAATATTGTAGGTTTAACTTTTGATGTAGAACATTACGGAAGGACTAAAATGATGAAGCCCATAAACTGCTATTCTAGACTGAACAAAAATATAAACGCAACAATTTCAATTATTTTACTGGAGTTAGTTGATATAAGGAAATCAGTCAATTGAAATAAGTTCATTAGGCCCTAATATATGTATTTCACATGACTGGGCAGCCATGGGTGGGCCTGAGAGGGCATAGGCCCACGCGTTTCGGAGCCAGGCCCAGCCAATCAGACAGTTTTTCCCCACAAAAGGGCTTTATTACAGACAAATACTCCTCAGTTTCATCAGCTGTCCGGGTGGCTGGTATCAGATGATCCCGCAGGTGAATAAGCAGGATGTGGAGGTCCTGGGCTGGCATGGTTACACATGGTCTGCAGTTGTGAGGCCGGTTGGACGTACTGCCAAAATTCTGTAAAACGACTTGAGGCGGCTTATGGTAGAGAAATGAATATAAAATTCTCTGGCAACAGCTCTGGTGGACATTCCTGCAGTCAGCATGCCAATTGCACGCTCCCTCAAAACTTGAGACATCTGTGGCATTGTGTTATTGTCCCCAGCACAAGATGCACTTGTGTAATGATCATGCTGTTTAATCAGCTTCTTGATATGTCACACCTGTCAGGTGGATGGATTATCTTGGCAAAGGAGAAATGTTCACTAACAGGAATGTAATTTTTTTTTTACACAATGAGAGAAATAAGCTTTTTGTGATATGGAAAATTGTGATATTTTATTTCAGCTCATGAAACCAACACTTTAAAATGTTGCATTTATATTTTTGTTCAGTATATTTAAACATCCCAAGATAAAGGCCTCAATATCAATAATTTTGTTTTTTTTGTTCCTCTAATTATATTCATTAAAAAAAAAATCTAAATAGTGATATACCTAAAACCCTCAAGCCCCCCAACAAGTAGAAGAGCAGAAGTATTGAGAATGCTTATGTAGGATATGATGGAGAATTCTCAACGTGGCAGGACATACTGGTGTGCGAGCTATAGCTGGGATGATAAACCTAAAATTAAATTGCAGGCTTTTTGCTGATATCGTTCATTACGATAAGTAGCCTATACTAGAGAAATGTGTTTGCTAATATGGGTGATTATTAATGGGACAATTGATGGCTACAACCATCAAACTAGTGGTAGTTTAAAGGATCATAAAAAAAACTGTGGTGCACATTAATGTTAGAAACGAATCGTTCTATTTATCATTATCGCATCAATTCAGGCAATCTATCGTGATATGGATTTTTGTCCACATCGCCCAGCTCTAGTATGAGCCCAGTACCCACAGTAGAGATTGGACTCTAACCTTCCCACCCCATGGGACCAAAGTGTCATGCAAAATAACATCAAAAACCTATCACTGCCCAAAACAACTGTTTAGCTAAAAGGCTTGTGTTAACTAGTACAGCAGAAAAGCTGTACGACGAAAGTATATAGAGCAATACATATCACTATGAATATCAATTTTAAGGCACAAATGCATTTGTCATTTCTATGTCTTGAGAAAAGTTACTTTGTCCTGGAAGTTTTAAATCAACGTAGCTACAATAACGTCACCATTTCAGAGGACCCAGAGGGGTATACTACAAAGCAAGATCAATGAGTTAGCCAGCTAACTTTGATAAACAACCAGAAATAACTACAGATATTCTGGATCATTAAGAAAGCTAAACTTCCATATGCGTTTTTGGTTGTTGAGTCAATTAGACCATGCCTATTTCAATCTGGGCATGGTCTAATTGACTCCAAAAATATATAAAAAAGTTATTTCATAATACTTAGGCAAGTTAGCTTACCAACTCCTTTATCCTGCTTTGTAGTATATCCCACAGGAGACGATTGGAAACCAGTCTGCTATTGTTCGTAACACAAACAAGCAAATACAGACAAAAGACAAACAAAGCGCATCTTTACATATCAAACACCCAGAAACAAAGACAAATTACTGGTAGTAATTAAAATAGCTCACCCCTTAATTCAAGTTCAATTAAAAAAAGTTATCCCATATAACCCTTACTGAAAGTGGCTCGAGTCAATACGAAAACGACCGTGTACATTCTGATGCTGTGACTGACTATGTGCAGGGCAGGTAGCCAGGGTTTAGGCTCTTCTAGCTTACACAGAGATGACGGCAGATAATCAGATGACCTCTAACAAACAGATGGACAGAAAGCTCTGGAGGAAGATGGCAGAGGAAGAAGATGGAGGAGGGTCTACTCCAGCTTGGATGCTGAGGGGTCTCCGGCCTGGATGTTGTCTTTCTGGTCCATCTCTGTGTGGTGCTCCTCCCCGTGCTCACCCCCCTCCTCCCCGTCCCCCTGGAACATGTCATGAGTCCACTTGTTGGGGCTGCTGCCCCCCTTGCGGTAGATGAAGCGTCCCCTGCTGCGGGGGAATGCCCCTCGGCCCCGGCCACGGCTCTCCAGCCACGTCTTCTCTCCCTCTCGGTCATCATGCTGCCAAATAAGTAGACAGAGGTCAGTGAAAAGGATACCACTATTCAGCAAGATTAACATGTCAGTGTTTACGTGTATTAAATTGTTTAGACCATATCAAGAGTCGAGAGAGAGCAGTGAAAAGGATTCCAAGACAGCATCAGCAAATGAAAATGTGTTCACATGTATTAATGTTCATTATTATAGCAGAGATCCACATTTGGTGAAACAGCGCCACTGGTCGCCCCAGGCACAATTGTTATTGTTTTCTTTTGAAACAGGGCAGAGGAGCATTCTGCATCGTGGTAAAAATATATAAATAATCATAGAACATACTCTGCTGTTCTATCGCGCGTGCAATGATGTCCGAAGGAAAACTATGTCCGTTGTTTGAGATAACGTCTTTGTTGTAATATCGCAAACGGACGAGGCAGTTTCACTGCTACAGATTCCAGATTTAACATGTATAAATATTTTATTTAATCTCACTAAGAGCTAAGATGATCACCTATCACAATACTGAAACAGAATCAAGACCATGTTTTCATATTCTAATCTGGGAAACCCAGAACCAAAATCAGATCAGAATGTCAGGAGAGACTATTTGGATTCAAATCCACTAGGGATACTGTGAAGAGAAGTACCCACACAAAAAAAGTCATTATGGTATACTCAAATCAAGGTGCTGAAACTTACAAAGTAATATTTCCTGCTCTTAGGAGTGTACTCTGGGTCCCACTCCTCGTCTGGCGGGCGTTCTGGGGGGGCGTTGCTCATATTAGGAGGGGGGTTGCTGTTGTTGTTTCCTTGGTAATTGCCCCTGTTCCAGCCCCTTCCACCTCCTCTCACTCTGGGGAGCTGAAACCAAAACAAACAGGGTCAGACTGGGGGTGTAGAGTGAAGTTGCCCCTAGACACTGATCTTGCATTTCCCCTACTAATGGTTAAGGTTAGGATTGAGGGAGGGGTAGCTGATCCTAGATATGTACCTAGGGGAAACTTAGTCCGAGCACAATCAACTATTATCATTACCATTATTCACAGGGCTTGGACTGAGGGCTTGGACTGAGGGCTTGGACTGAGGGCTTGGACTGAGGGCTTGGACGGAATTAAAAAGTATAGCTGCAGGAAAGCAGTCCAGAGATAAAGATCAAATACATCAAAGAGATGGAGAGAGTGAGAGAGCGAGCAAGCAGAAAGAACACCAGGGGCTCTCAGTTGGCTGTGGAGAGAAGGAGGAGGAGTCAGGCTTCTGCTGTGAGTATTGTGTTTCTGAATGTCACATGAGTATTACTTTACCTTTATTAATCAGGTATGGATTAAGAGTGAAATAGTATCATCATCCACCTCATTCTCCTTATCATCATCATCATCATCATTAGGAGGAAGGAACAGAGCAGAGAAGCACAGTCTATAGCGAAGTTATAAGGATAGAAAATTACAAGACAATCACATATCAGAGTCATTCCAATAGTGCACTCCAGTCCATACAGTAGGCTACATCACACAGAGAGCAGAACTTACAAATCCTCCTCCACGTCCCCGGCCCCTATCCATGTGGCCCTCATAATCCCGGGGGGGACCCCTCTCCATGTGGCCCTCATAATCCCGGGGGGGACCCTTGTCCATGTGGCCATCACAATCCCGGGGGGGACCCCTATCCATTGGGCCTCCGTAGTCCCGGGGGGGACCCCTATCCATGGGGCCTCCATAGTCCCGGGGCCCGAAGCGAGGCTTACTGTAGCCCTGGTCCATGTGCTCCACCTCCTCCCCCATCATGTGGTCTTTACCTCTGAACCCTCCTCTGAAGGGAGAGGGAGAGGAGGAGGAAGAGGAGGAGGATGGAGAGCGATCACGCTTCTTTTTGGTTTTTCTGTTGAGCGAGAGGGGTAAAATAGGAAATTACAATTAGACTCCATTTTAACTGGATCCATATTTTAAGTGCTGAACATGAAATCACAAAGAAATCTTTGGGTGGAAAAATGACATGCATATAGTTTATATAACCACATTTCAATGAAATAAACAATTCAGGGATGGAAGAGACTATGGGAGGTGATTTTAAAGTAAGCTATAATAAACCTACTTGGATTTCTTGTGGCGTTTGGCGGATTTCTCGGAGGACCCCTCTTGGCTGGGTCCTCGGGAGCCTCCGGAGCCCTTGCCCCCGTCACGTTTGTGCTGCCCAGGCTCCTTCCCAGTAAACCTTTTTCGGCGCTCTATATCCAGACGTAGGTCCATTGGGTCACCTTTAGGTTTTTTACCCTGATCCTGTGAAGATATGGATGTGCTGTCTATGTTAGTGGCCGCTTCCGATACCACAACTTAGAAGACACTACCACTTGTAAGAATGCTTCATTACATAATAAATGGGCAACATAATGAAGTAATGATGCTTTTCCATGTCATGGGTTGCACATGTCGTCACAATATTTGTTTGAACATTTGTTTTAGGACTGATGCCCGACTGAGCATTCTACTCAATGCATTGTCAATGAGCGCTGATGAAGATTTAATCAAAAGTGCATTACAGTGTCTTGGAAATACAATGACATTTTAACAGGAGGCAAATAATTAGTAAGAAAACATTGTCATCATTGTGATGTCACCAGATTGACTTAGATGCAGTATTACATTAGCTAGCTAGCTAAGATTGAGGGGAGACCATCGGATTTTAGCTAGCTAATGTTAGCATTGCAAGCTATTTTTGAGAAACTTTGCAAGATAATGACATTTCTATCTGTCTAAGTGAATTTGACAGCATGATAATGATGGCAAAGTTGTTGCCTACAAAATATTTGCCTACTTTAGCAATGTCATTGTATTTCCAGGCCACTATAGTATAATGTAGACAAAACAGTAATTAGCCTCCATTCAGAATGACTGGGCTTATCATGAGGGCGTCTTGAGAATGTTCATAACAATGGCATGGTGTGACTGAGTGACAGGGGTGCAACCTATGAATATATATGAAAGCTTAAGTAAAACAATTACATGCAGTGAAAGAAGGACGTTGAGTGTTTGTGTGTGTGTGTGTGTGTGTAGTATTGCACCCCATCTGCTGGTGATGGCAATAAATGCATCCATCCAGAGCGCTAAGGCCATCTTGAAATCTTTTCTTCCAAATAACTTCAAAGTTCTATATCAAAGTTTTTTGAATTTATGTACTCAAGTAAACAGATCAATCACGTGTGTTAATGTAATCTTAGTTAATTTTCTAAGGCTTTATTAGAGTAACTTGGCCAAGTAACAGACATCTACACACTCATGGGGAACAGGAGCATGCTTTTAAGATATCCTTTAAAAACTAAATCATTTTTTACTGAACTTGAATACATGTTGCTTGTTTGTTTGAGGAGAAATACTTACAATGGCATTGCTTAGGGTCCCATGAGAGGCTTGGACACAGCATCTTAAGTCACCTCCTTTTAGCTTTTTCTTGGGTACGTACATACCCGCTCAATAACCATATCTCATAGGCTGGGGGGCTCGCTTGGGATTACAATACACAATTGGGCTCTTTTGATTTAGACTTATGCATCTCCTTTAAAAGAAAAGCACAAGCTGAACACTGCTGCTTTGGATCGTCTCAAATCACCTTCAATTTTTACATCAAATGTCAAAAAGGCCGTTCACCTTGTAGCTGCAGTCCTCCAGCTCCTCTAGCAGGTGAGAGTGTCTCTTAAACGCACTGGGGGAGACATCGATTCTCCTGTAGGGGAACACAAAAGTTAAAAAGGCACAAGGTGAGTTGGATATGGCTACATCAAAGCATGTACTTAACTCACAATCGTCTCAAAGTATTTGAGAGTAATTCATTTGTTGAACACACAACTTTGCAGCGATATTGAATGTTTGACGTGAACTCATAGCAATCTGAAGAGAAGGCAGCCCATACTGGCTGACAGTTATGAGAAAGACTGCCTTACCTGTGGATTTCTGGACTCTTCCTTGGCTTCATCAATTCCATCTCAGCGGCTTTTCTTTGGTACATGGCAAATCGCTCACTTAAAGTCATGCCTGAAGAGCTGAAATGTTGGGCTGCAAATAGAGGACAGATATAATATTTATATAGTTTTTCTAGTCAATGGACAACTCTAACTCAGACCAGGGCCTAAAATTAACACCCGCCACCTGCGGGTAGATTTTGGCATTGGCGGGTAAGATGTCTATTTCACCTGCCACGTTGGCGGGTGGTCAGAGCTCCACAGCCAAGAGCTGAGTGAAAGATTCATTTTTAGAAGCCCTGCACACAGCCATAACAGTTGGTCTAATTTACTTGAAATGAAAGTCTACTGAAGTGAGTCTCTGTCCTTGTGTTTCTTGGCTATTTACATTGTTTTGTTCACAAGCTAGGTTGTTTTTCTATGTTTGAGTTTCAACTGCTAGAGAAGAGAAGACAACGCTTCTACCAAAAAAATGTATAGCTAACCCAAGAGTGTCATTTTAGCAGAAAAAATATATTTGGGCTGGTAAAAAATCTGAGTGGCTGGTAGATTTCGAAATCTACCTGCCACAGTGGCTGGTAGACCAAAAAGTTAACTTTATGCCCCGATTCAGACAATTGTTTAATTCAAAGGACTTGAAATGATCTCACAATGACGGAATTACATCAAATCCTACAAAGGAACTAGTGATTGAACAGTCCATGGAACTATTGAATATTTCAAACCTACTGCTGTCCTTGTTGTGTCTGTGGCTTCATAGACAACACTTTATGGTCCCCAACAAGAGACCTTACCTTTGATGTAGTGCACAATGGTGACAATGTGCTGCGCAAACAGCTCCGAGGGGCTGCGTCTGAGCTGAGCAGCCTGAATATGCTGGAAGATGGAACGGAACTCTCCATGATCTTTCTTAGTGGGATGCACCAGATCCCTGGACATACCACGCTCCCTGGTCAGACCTCCAGAGCAGCTGAGAAGAGAAAGAGACCAGGTGGATCAAGCAGATACAAAACTGTTGTGTTCAAGACCGTGACGAGTTCCATAAACATGTTAACCTTCAAGCAGATCAAAAACTACCCAGTGTTCAAAATTATGTTTTCAGAAAATATTAACCCTCCAAGCTGTCTGTTTATGAACAGTATTGGTGATGCTGCTTACCTGGCCATCTTGTCAAAGGAGTTGATACTAAGCTCAAAGTCCTCCCTCTTTCCAGAGGGCCTGGGTAGGGGTGACTCCACCCTAGTGACGGGGAACAGGGCCAGGGGCCTGTCCTTCTCCCTGCTACCTGAACCCCTAGGGACCATGGTTGCTGTGGCTGGGGACATACTGCTCTTCTCCTTGTCTTTCTTCTCCTTCTTCTTCTTCTCTTCTTTCTTGGAGGCCTGCTTGCGGCTGCGGTAGAGCTCCTCCTCCATGTGCTCCAGGTCTTCCTCCACGTCTTCGGCCGTGTCTCTCAGTCTCTCCTCGTCCTTCCCTGGAAGGTAGTAATGGGGCTCGTCTTCCCACTTCCCAAACACGTCCCGTGTCGTCAGGGTGGCTCCTTTGGGCTTGGCCTCCTCTTCCACCTCCCTCTCTCTCTCTCTCCCTGCAGCCTGAGACTTGAGGAAGGCCTCTTCAGCTTTGTCCAGGAAGGGAAGGGACTTATCGGCCTTGGAGCTGAAGGAGGCTGCTGTTATGTTAAAGAGGCCACTGCTAGTCCTGCTCTTGACTTTCTCTCTGCCGTCTCCGTCCGTGGTGCTCTGGTCCCTGTCCCGGCCATTCTCCCACTCTGCCGCCGCCTGCTGCTGCTTTTTGCTCTTGTTTTCTGCCAAGAACCTGGCCAATCAGACAGAGAATTAAATGGACCTTTACAACATGTTATACAAAGGAGAATGTTGATTAAAATCTAGTTTTGTTACAGGATCCCAGTTTTCTAACAGGGCACTGATATTAAAATCGAATGCATTTCGCCACAAGGGGTACAAAATGTTAGATGATCAACAAACAGAAAATAAACAAACAAGACAGCACAACCATAGAGGTGACTATCACAACACCACAGAATGACATGTAACACTTACAATAGCACAGGACTGCTTTTGTAATAATTATACTTAATCACCACCTCCTAAATTAGGGGGATTTCATACAACTGAACCTCCTTTCAATGCATAGCAGAGGACAACAGCCAGCGACTTTTTAAATGTTGTCATTAGCATTTGAAATGAGAAGAAGACTGCTATTGACAATGGCATCCATTTTTAACTGTATTCTTCCAAGGATCTTTGCAGCTGGGCACAGACTGAACAATTTTGAAAGAAGAATTACAATCACATACTGGGATGAAGAAAACTCAACTTAAAAGAAAATAAAACAAAACATATGATGAAAGACAAATTTAGCAGAATGTAAAGGGAAGTATGGAACATACTTTTTGAAAGCAGAGGAAATGGCAATCTTATCGTCTGCCCTGGTGGGATCCTCCTTGCCAAGGAAGCCAAACCCGCTGAAGGAGGCGGTCGGCCCGGCCTTGGTGGAGCCCGGTGGGCTGTTGGTGGAGGGAGCACTGCCAGTGCTGCCGATGGTTCTCCACAACGGCCCTTTGGGTTCGGATTTTTCCTGGTTGGCACCAACAGTGGGACTGCTGCGTTTGGGGCTGGTGTCATAGTCACTCAGACCCTGCCATTTCCCAGCAGAGGTCTTATCATGACTACTGCCCTCTCCCCCCTTTCCTCCTGCCTGCTCCACAGCCCCTTCTCCTCTCTCCCCCTTGACCTCTGCTGGCGTAGCCCTGTCCTTTACATCCTTGGAGCCAGGCTTCCCCGAGCTAGGGCTGCTGCGGTGATGCCGCGGGGACGAGGAGCGGGAGCGAGACGAGCTGTGGCGCCCCCGAGACCACCGGGAACCCCTGGAGGACGAGCGGTCAGAGTATCGAGACCGCGAGTGGCTGCGGCTGCCCGAGCGTTTCCTAGGAGTGCGGGAGCGGGAGCGTGAGCGGCCTCTCCTGGGGCTGTGCGGACCGTGGTGATCCTGGTCGCGGTGTGGCCCGTCCCGGTAGCCCCCCCCCCGCCAGTTGTTGGCTCTGTAGCCGTAGCTGTTCCCTCCTCTCTGGTAACCACGGCGAGGGTAGAAGCCCCGGGTTCTACCACGGAAGTAGAAGGGTCTGCGGAAGCCGCGGTTGTAGCCTCTCTGGTAACCCTGGTAACCCTGGTTGTTCTGGTAGTCTCTGGTGGGATAGTTCCTGCCGTGGGACGGAGAGTGAGATCTGGAACGGGAACGAGACCTGGAACTAGGAGAGAGAAGAGAAGAAAACAGAAGACAAGAGAAGAGGGGCAAGAGATGCATGTTAAAAGATACTGTGTAGTCAATGCCCATACAATTTTCAGGAGGTAGCCTAAACATTGTAAACACATAAGTAGGCTAAAATCCAGTCTGGTGTATTCATACAGAGAGGAAAAGTGTTTTGTTCCGCCAGCCTGCACTTTGCCAACTCAGGTGTGCGTTTGCCTGTCTCCAGACAATTCACTCAGAGAGAACATGAAATAAACCCCACAGGGATTGACATGAAGCTCTCAAAAGGCACTTGCCCGTCCGTCAGGTCAGGAGCAGTTTTTAACTTGCCTGAACATTATGGTCACTTGCCCAGAAAATGTAGTTGTCTAAACAGTAACACAACATTAACAGATCCGGAAAAAATTGTCCTATACTACGAATGTAGTTTGAGTTAGCTCAAGTAACTTTGGTCAACGAATCTTTCAGATCTAAACTGCTCTGGGGCAGGCTAAATCAGGGCTAACTACATTTATCCTAAATGAAGTGTCTGAGCCGCGAGTTGAGGATAAATTAAATCTGATTCCCTCCCTCTCGCAAACATTGAGTCATCATCCACTTCATTTGAGGAAGACAACTGATTAAATATTTTACTAATCAAATGTGTTTGTGTGCAAAAAGAAAAGTATGTTAAAATACCTATCACATTACAAATGTAGTAATGACAAATGCATTTGAAACTTCATGACCAGTAAAACTTTTGTATGACTTAACACAATTATTTTATCATAGGTGTGTGGGGGAAAAAAAGGTGCTCGTTCATTGATAACCACACCAAAGTAATAAAATAAAGACAGCACTTCTAAAAGTATTTTTCACACCATACCCTGCTGAATTTGCAAGATAACTTTTCTTTCATTTAGATTTCGGGACAAATGAATGTGACTTGCCCATGGATTGATGTTTCAGCATTGTCTCCATGAAGTGTTCGACTAGCCATGTGTGACATGCACTCGCAGTTACAAGCCTAAACTTAGCGGCAGGCGGACGAGCAATATCCACCGTCGTAGTATGGATGAAGCCTGAGCTGGAATGTGAAGCTAACTGAAGCTGGTTAGCTTTTGAAAAAAACCTGATTAGATCTAGCTTGCTTCGTAGTATACCCCTCAGGTGTATTCAATAGCTGGGAGTGAATTAAACAAACAGCACACGGTCAGGCTCAATACAAAAAACCTGACTGTAAATGAACTGGTAGTGGTCCAAGTGAATGGGACTGAGGGACTGTGTTATGGAGTATTCTGTCCACTCGGGGGAGCTACAAAACCACACACTATATCACCAATTACAACTCAGCCAGAGATCAACTCAGCAAATATCCTCCTCCTGTTGCCATTTTCCTCTGAACACTCAACATTCAAACAACTTCACTTCAAGGTGCCCTTTGACTGGATGGAAAGAGCAGGAGAAGTGCCCATTCTAGCATTATATGGAATATAATAACCAGTGTTTCTTATGAACAAATATAATGGAGGCCTACTCATGCAAATGTAGCCACTAGCCAATGCATTTGGTTAAATCCTGGAGGGTATAAAAGTCTGCTATCTAGGCCTAAACACCTTTGAATAGTTTAAGATCATGTCTTGCCTGTTACACACACTGGGAGAAGATTCTTACATCTGTCCTTAAAAATCAATGGAAATAATGTACAAAGAATGAAATAGAACACCACATAGTAGTAGCAGTAGAAGTACAATAACATTGAAAGTACCGTGCCTACAGTACATCAGCACACTTTACATATCCAGGAAAATGCAAAGTACCAGGCAAATTTTAAAAACGACTAATGCAAGTTGGGACTTACTATAAAACCCGAATTAGAACCCACGCAGCAAGCAAACCGTAGATTGGTTTCTACCCATGTACCGCAGAGGTGGCGGAACGGAACCCCCAAACAGCTAAATCCGTCATGTAAGCCTCTAATAAAAACCCCGATAACTTACCGCTTGCGCCTTTTCATTGGAATATTCTGGAGGTGATGTGCTAAGCAGTGAGCAACATAGAACACTTACAGTAGTGAGGGACTCCCCATGTCTGGTGAGAGCGAGTGTGTGGAGGAACTGGAGCAGTGGAAAGAGGCGGTACACATTGGGCCAAAACAGGAAGCGTTTTCACTCTAATCCTTCAAGAAGGGAGTGGGGGGGAGGGGGTTTGCCCCCCCCCCCCCCCCCTTCTCTCTTTATGAAAGCACGCACTTCCAGCCATTTCTTTCCCTTTGGACAAATCACTAAAATGTATGTCACTTGTCTTATGCATTGCTGACCATTTAACTGAAAGAGGTCCCAAGTGTCTACATGGCCCAACAAAAAACAAAAACAAAAAAAATATCTCCTGCCAGACTGGAATCAAACTTTAACAATAGCCTACTTAATATCAATATTTTCAAAAATCACAAAGCTCAGTCATGAAAAACTAAGTTGTGACGTAACTAACCCATATAATTCCTCATGAAAGTCCTAACAGCCGAACACTTTCCCACAAAGTGCTGAACGCTGTCTAGCAGCCCTTCTCCTTCAGAGAAAATAACTAACCCAAATTATGAAATCAAATCAAAAGGATTTAAGTATTCCTCTGAAACAAAAGGCTGACTCAATAATTTATCAAAACTGATGGCATCACTCCCTACATGTTATGTAAGTGCAGTATTTTATTCTGTCTCTCACAAAATGTATAGTTCAACAGAAGACTGGAACGAGGTTGTATAATAGGCCCTATAATGTGTCATCTGGAAAAGAGGCTGTAGACTGTCCCAGAGCATTGATACTAGGGCCGGGACGATACCAGTATCGCGATACTAACGCGACAAGGAAACAAAACACTAAGCGGATTTAACTTCTTTAGGAAAACAGCCCTAATGTTGGAAACAAACATAATTACGGCGTCATTCAGAGTCACATTCATTTTTATATTTTCCAATCTATAGCACACAATATTTTACATACAGCAGGTTTTTAAAGAGTAACTTTCATGAAAAAACATTTAGGCTTAGTTTAAGTGACACACGTCAACTCCGGTCTTCATTTTGACAGTTTGTTGCAAAAGTGATATGCACTGACTGTACAAAACACCTTCCTAATATTGAGCCCCCCTTTGCCCTCAGAACAGCCTCAATTCGTCGGGGCATGGACTCTACAAGGTGTCGAAAGCATTCCACAGGGATGCTGGCCCATGATGACTCCAATGCTTCCCACAGTTGTGTCAAGTTGGCTGGATGTCCTTTAGGTGGTGGACCATTCTGGATACATGTGAAACTGTTGAGCATGAAAAACCCAGCAGCATTGCAGTTCTTGACACTCAAACCGGTGCGCCTGGCACCTACCATACCCCGTTCAAAGGCACTTAAATATTTTGTCTTGCCCATTCACCCTCTGAAAGGCACACATACACAATCCATGTCTCAATTGTCTCAAGGCTTGAAAATCATTCTTTAACCAGTCTCCTCTCCATCTACACTGATTAAAGTGGATTTAACAAGTGACATCAATAAGGGATCATAGCTTTCACCCGGTCAGTCGATTTGTACAGTGTATTTTGGTCTTTTAGTAGTAAATCTAATTAGTTTTACCCCTAGCGGTTCAACGCTACTGTTATAGTGTGGACACTATATAAATAATTACATTGGATAGGTGTTGTACTTACCTGCAGTATAGTATGATTGCTATTCATATGTGCATGGTTATTATTGGCATTAACTGTGACCTTTCCCCTTTGATGATGTCATCACCAAGAGTCAGATCTGTACAATGTGATTCTACCACAGGTTGAGTGGGCTATATCGTTCTGCTGTTTTTTTACCGTTTGTACACCTTTTATTTATTGGGTTGAAAGTAAAGGAAAGTAATATTGAAATGCGTGTGGCCATTCCTTGTCAAGTTACTACAGCTACCATTTAAATTGTGATGTAGAGGCACAGTATGAAATAGCCTACACTCCCTTCTAGATGTGCTTGGTGGTACCACCTCAAGGCTTACTATAAAAGCAGGTGACAGCACGCCTAATATATTTTGCATGATGCTTCCTTGACTAGACTACTGCCGTTACACAAAATTCTAAAGTCAGTAAGGTACATTTCCGGATATGACCAAATCCAACGTTTTTGCTTATCGTTTCATACAAATCTATGTGCTTTAAAAAATTCCCCCCACCCACAACTTCTCACCTGAATGCATTTTTTAACTATTTTAATGGGTTGGGCAAAGGCAGAAATTGGAGTTGAGAGTTACCCTTTAAAAAGGACCAAAGAGTTTGCTCTGCTTCGTGTTTTCATTTTTGCTATAAAACAAATAAGAAAAATTGTGATACTGGTATCGTCACAGCCTCAATCGATACAGCACATCAGCCTTAATGTGAAGAGAGGTTAGTCTTCTAGTAGCAAAAGAAGAAGAACAAGGGATAAAAAAGGACCAGTAGTAGGAAGTTTGTCTTACCCAACTATTCAAAGAACCGATATAGCCCAACTCAAGGCTGAAGAACAGGAAGTGCACATATTCAAATCTCATGGTGGGTAGGCTATACATCCCAGTAATCTTATGAAAAACAAGAATGGATGACAACTCTTCATACAGTAAGGCAGTGGTCACCAAACTTTGAGCCGAGATCACTGAGTCAAAATAAAGGCAGAGATCTACCGCTCAGAATTTTATTAAACATTACATAAAAAAACATAAGCCTGTGCAATATTAACCTATTAAAACAGTTCTGTAGCAATTAGGTTTGTAGTAGGCTAAAAGCCCAATACATTATCACTGCATATTGGCTATGCTTGAACTGCCATGCCAATGTTCTTCTCAGACCATTTTAAAATTATATTTCAAAACTTGAGGTATATGATCACACTGGTAATAGATCATCATTTGTGGTATTACTTGTGAGGCACAGTTGAGTGAGCATACATTGAAATAATGTGCTTTTTTTTATTTTACTGGACTGATTGTGCCTGCATCTGATGGTCTGTATCAGCG